TTCGGAAATTAAGTGTCGGTTAAGAAAGTTAGTACAAAAGGGCAGTGCAGAAGAAGTCATTTTTCGATGGTAAAGGATCGCTGGGCGATCCATCGTTTTTCTGTTGGTATCTTACTTTTGAGAAAGATTCGAATCGTACCGAATTTTTCTCTTAACCGTGTACTTCGCTTCTTCTCAAAGCTTCTTTCATAGAACATCTCTTGCTGCAACGTTTTTCATCAATGACGGAAAAAAGAAGTACTCTCATATGAACAACTATGAATCCGCAGGATACGGAACATATTGACGTATCGATTTTTTTTTTTTTTATTGAAATTTAGTTCCATCAGTGTATAGAAAATTTCGTTTGATTTAGAAACTGCTGGTTAACTAAGAACTTGGCGAGTTACGTACACATTCTTTTTTTTTTTTTTTTATCGCTTACGTACTTACAGACTTAATTTTCGTTGCGACTCGCGGAGAATATTTTTCACTACGACAGGAATACCGACGAAAAAGAAAAAAAAGAAGAAACAACAGGATTGAATTATTCTGATTATTACTCAAGTCGAGTTTTGTAGGTCTTAGCGTAGTGTATCAAATCACTAGTGATCAAAGACTGAAATAAAAGCTGTGGCTTAACTTTTAGCTAAGCATCAGCTGCAGGCGTAATTAGTCTGTGTAAAATCTGTGCATACATATAGTATCATATAAAGTAACTTGCATAGAAGAAAATCGAGAAGTTATGTTCCGGTTCGAGCCGAGATGTCGCGTCTTCGAACAGTCTAAACTTTTTCGGTCGAGCTTTATTCAGAGGAGCATCTCGCAGCGCTTCTCCGATAGCATTTAAAATAACGAACAAAGTAATAATAATCATTTAAAAAGAAAAAAAAAAAAAAAGAAAAAAAGAAGAAGGAAACTAAAAGAAATCATGGTCGCCTGGTGAAGATCGAGCAGGATACGATCTGACCAGGTGAACATGCCAGTTTCATACTTAACATACATAGAATTTTAAACGATCACAGACGCGACGGATTCCACTGGTGGTACCGTCAAAATTAACACAAAATGATATATATATATATATATA